CCCGAAAATGGTATGAATTTATACATGATGATGAAGAAGATGATGAGGCGGATGGGTTGAAACTGAGCGGTGGTGGTCTAAGGCATAGTTGTTGGGGAAGCTGTTGAAGGACAGACCCATGACGGGAACAGCAAATGAAGTCTCTATCAGGATTCTCTGCTGGAAAGGCTCCATCGCACCTCCTGCTTCCATCAGCTCCTTCACTAAACCACCATAATAATCCTTGAGCTTCTTCACCATGCAAATATACTTGTGCTTCAGCGCCCTCAACTTCACACGTCTCCAGAGCCTCACCAGAAAGAATCTCCTGCGGGGCTTCTTCCCACCAGCTCCTCCTAGTCGGACGGTGGGCAGCTTCGTCCTCCTCCGGAATGACAGTCGCCATCGGCCTGTCGTCCACCGGAAGTGGGCGGAGGAGGAATGCACGGGGGTCATTTTGGTGGGAGTGAATGGGGCAGTTTCGGCTTTGGAAACTTGGGCCATTACAATTGGTAGGTAGCAGCAGTATGGGTGTTATTGAAATCTAGCAGTAATTACTAATGCCTAATTTGTATGGAGGGGGGAATGGGGAACTAGGGACTAGGGACTAGGGCCCGGGGAGATCACTTGGAATCCTCGGTGACATATTTTTCTATGTCAATCCAATGCCACCTATAGTATTGCGCCAAGTGTCCCATTATTATTTATACTTTAATTTTTTAATAATTCAACTTGGTTTGGTTTAACACAAGTGTAAATAATAACATGACACTTGGCACAATATTATAGGTGACATTGGATTGGCATAGAAAACATGTCACCGAGGATCCGAAGTGCTGGGCACTTGGAATCCTCGGTGACATATTTTTCTATGTCAATCCAATGCCACCTATAGTATTGCGCCAAGTGTCCCAGGAGACGAGGCCCATGAGGGAAGGTAATAAATGAGAAAGGAGTTGACCGTGCCTCAAAGCATCTTTTCTTTTCGTCTTTATTAGACTATACAACAAGACACCTTCTTTTATTTTAAGAAGGGAAAAAAAAAAATCGTCATGGTGGTGAGATTTTGTGATCGGCACGAATTAGTGGATAAATATTTCCAATGTAATAATAATAAGATGGAGTATAGTATTATTATTATTATTATTTTAATTATGGGATTACTTACGTCCTTAACTCTTGCTCCGGCTTTAATTTTGGAACATATATATATGTCTCTTCATATGACTAATCCTGATTTTCGAATTTTCTTGTTGTACTCATTAACACTGCCCTGTGCTGGTTGGCTTTTTATATTGAATCAGTACATTTCATTTTCGAACGGCATGGAGCAAAATTGGCATACTACTACTACTATTTGGAGAGAAACGAGTCTGTCGTATTATGGGCTCTAAAATAGGGCATGTTGAGTGAGGATATGATGATATCATGAAATCTTTTCTTGTTCGGCTGTACCCATACAACAACTTTTGCGCCTCATATTATTGTCAAGCGGATCTTAGCCAGAGGATTAAAATACTATAACAACTTCTTGTAGCTTATTAGCGTTTCATGGAGTATCTTTTTTCCCCTTCTTCTTGACCTTTATTATTCAAGCTGCCTTCCTCAAGGAAGCCACCAGGAAGTTCGCTTATCCGAGGAAAAAGTACAGATTGATGATGTGAAAATTTGATTTCAATGTGAAGATGGGTATAACATGAGTGAATTGAGTTGATTTTCATTTCTTATTGGTGACATCTCATCTAGTAAAACCTGTGTTTATAAACTTGGATCGGTCGGATAAAATCTATGTTTTTTAACTTGGACCGGATGGGGCCGTCCGACCGATCAAATCTAAAAATCGGTCAAGTGTCCGGTCCAAATTATTCTAAAAGATCATGTGGATAAAAACTCGGTCAAATTCGATCAAAAAATCGGATTTGACCGGAAAACCAGAAGAAGCGTTGGGGTCAAAGCCCTTTTTTTTTTAAAGGTAAAATTTTTTCAATATTTTGTTTTGACCCCTAAGTTGTTAAAAATTATTAATATACCTCAAATATTTCATACTTTATAAATGTTGTCCTAAAATTTGATGTTATTTTTCAATCAAGTCTATTATTTTAATTATAAACTTGCTAATGTTCATTAAATAATATAAATTGCTACTTAATCATTCTAATTTCTTTGTATTTTCTTGTTAAATATATATATGAATATATCTTTATTAATATTAACATGCTCTTAAGTATTTTACATATAACATTTTAAAATTTAAATAATTTTTATTTATAACGTCATCCGATTCAATCCCGATCGAATCCCATTGAATCCATTAACCCCTGACTTATGAGTTCGACCGAATCGATACCGGTCCGAGTTTGAAAACATAAGATAAAACAACTGCGTTCTTCAACTTGTATATGTGCATTAACTCTATAATTGATGTGAGTGCCGCGATAACGAAGGATTAGCCAATTTTAAGAGTTTAGGCAAAGCTAGCCTGCTACTCATTCAATATGACAGTTGACAACCGGTCACGCAATTTGAATTGTAAAAAGGTTGTTGGTAGCGTTGTGACATTACAACTTGGCACATCCCAGAAAGGCAGAAAGCCACTACATATGTCCCTTTGAATATACGTTTTAAGAAAGAAAAGAAAGTCCAATTGTCCAAAAACAGAAAAAAAAAAAGAAAAAAAGAAAAAGCAGAGGGTAAATGAACCAAATTGCTTGCAAGCTGCTCACAAGCAACTCAATCAAAAACTCAACCTGAATTTAATCAAATTAGTAATTGGTACCTTTTTAGAGTTGTATCATTAATTCATTTCTTTTCTTTTAGAGCAATGTTTTTTTTTTTTTTTTGTCAGCAAGGAGGCTATTGTAGGGGCTAGTGAGTATACAGACCCAACTAAATCAAGGGAGTACTATGACACAAACTTTAGATTTTTTTCGCTGCTTGTGAGGTTTGAACCCTCACCAATAACTCAAGAGGAACTTAAGTCCCTCCCTGGTGGCCAGGGAGCCATTGGCCAGTGGTTATTTCTTTTAGAGCAGTGTACACTACAAAGATTCCACAGGCAACAATGACAAAGGACTGGATGGCACTTAAGTTAACACCCACAATCTATCCCTACGGTCAACCCATACTGCCATTTCTATTTCTATATTTAAAAAAAAAAAAAGGAAAGGATTCATATTAATAATACTCCAGCAGTGAAAGAGCTTTTAGATCCCAGAATGTCACCATGGAAGCCCACCTAAATCCACACCACAGGCAGTTCTGATTTGGATCGTCACAAAGAGACACAAAAACCTGAAGAAGTGGGTCAGAAGTTCCCATGTTCGGTCACTGTCTCTAAAGGCTTGACAAATAACATCCATCCTGGATAGAATTACATGGGCCTTTACTCCTTCCAAAGTGCTGTAGGTGCGGCCCAAATACATGTCCAACTTGTACTAACCTTATCCCGTGGTTAAGATAAGTCAGGAGTGCTAACATGATTAATTAATTTGAGTTTGACGTTATTATTAACGGATAATTGCAGAAACCTCCCCTGAGATTTCTAATATTTGCACTGACCTCTCTTATGATTTGAAAAATTACACCGACCTCCCCTAAGGTTACTAATCCTTTGCAAATTTAGTCCAAACAATTAAAATATTATTTAGGGAGTGAAATTAGAATTTTGTACTAGATTTGCCCTTTGTGCTACATGTCCAATGAATGACAAAGTACTATAAATCAATTAACAATTAATAAATTTTAAGAAGTATATAATTTATAGACAAACACGCATTATTAATTTAAAATACCGGTTTTTTACGGATATTTACTTTTAAATATTTAATTTGTAATAAATATATCAATATTTGTAAGTAAAATTTAAAAAGTGTTACAGTAATATTCTTGCAAAAAAGAAATAGATAGGTTATTTATTTAATATAAATTAAATATTTAAAAAAAAAGAAATGACTCATAAAGTATTAAATTTTTATGGCTTTCATCCGTTATATGAGTAAAGTATTCGCTCTTTATGTGCATTTTATTCATTTAATTTATGTTAAATATATAAATATTTGTAACTAAAATTAAAAAAGTGTTATATTAATATTTTTACGGAAGAGAGATTGGTAGGTTTTGTATTTAATAAAAATTAAATATTTGAAAGTAAATACAAATCTGTATTTGAGCGTAAATATTTGTATTAAATTAAATATTTGAAAGTAAAATACCCGTAAAGAACCGGTACTTTAAATAGTTACCAGCTTTTTATGGACAAACACGCATTACTCATTTAAAGTACAGGTTTTTTACAGGTATTTTATTTTCAAACATTTAATTTATGATAAATATATCAATGTTTGTAAGTAAAATTCAAAAAGTGTTACAATAATATTCTTGCAAAAAGGAAATTGGTAAGTTATTTATTTAATATAAATTAAATATTAAAAAAAGAAATAGCCCATAAAGTATTAATTCTTTATGACTTTCATCTATTACACGAGTAAAGTATTTACTCTTTATGGGTATTTTATTCTGAATCATTTAATTTATGTTAAATACATAATTGTTTGTAACTAAAATTGAAAAAGTGTTATATTAATATTTTTACGGAAGAAAGATTGGTAGTTTTTTTATTTAACAAAAATTAAATATGTACTTCTCAAGCAGTTAAAAACTATGATGGTTCGTACATTTTTCAATAAAAACTCCTTAAATATTATTTCTTTTAGGCAAACAAATGGTCGATGCACAGGTGATAATTACAATTTAGAATTTAAGTATGTAACATAATTATACGCAGGGTAGTTTAGAAATGTTTAGAAATTAGATTAATCTAGGAGTTCAACGAAAGTAGCATGATGAAACCTCTCCCGGTTTCTTAGTTCGCATTATTATTGTGTGATCGATTATCATCATACTTGTCTGTCGGGCGAAATTTTGTTTAAAAAAAAAAAAAAAAAAAAAAGATTTTTATTTTCTTCTTTTTTTTTTCCCTTAAAAGAAGAAAAGAAATTAAGAAAAGGAAGACGGAGCAGCTAAAAGTAAGAGGTTGAGATCGGCAACTGGAATTTATTACATGATCATGGAAACTGAACCCGAAAATCGTATGAATTTATACATGATGATGAAGAAGATGATGAGGCGGATGGGTTGAAACTGAGCGGTGGTCTAAGGCATAGTTGTTGGGGAAGCTGTTGAAGGACAGACCCATGACGGGAACAGCAAATGAAGTCTCTATCAGGATTCTCTGCTGGAAAGGCTCCATCGCACCTCCTGCTTCCATCAGCTCCTTCACTAAACCACCATAATAATCCTGCAGCTTCTTCACCATGCAAATATACTTGTGCTTCAGCGCCCTCAACTTCACACGTCTCCAGAGCCTCACCAGAAAGAATCTCCTGCGGGGCTTCTTCCCACCAGCTCCTCCTAGTCGGACGGTGGGCAGCTTCGTCCTCCTCCGGAATGACAGTCGCCATCGGCCTGTCGTCCACCGGAAGTGGGCGGCGGCGGAGGAGGAATGCACGGGGGTCATTTTGGTGGGAGTGAATGGGGCAGTTTAGGCTTTGGAAACTTGGGCCATTACAATCGGTATGTAGTAGTAGTATGGGTGTTATAAATCTAGCAGTAATTGCTAATGACTAATTAGTATGGAGCATCAAAGAGGGTCTGCACTCTGCACGGATTGAAGTCGTGCTTTTAACTCCATAAAAAGATTCTTGTTGCTGGAAGAAAGGGAAAAAAAAAAGGAAAAAAATGGCTTTTCGTGATAATTTAATGAACATACATACATGATCGCACGTTTGCATGCCAGAAGAAAAGAAACGCATGGATATGGTTGTTAAGGTTTTCAGGTAGAACTCTGTTCCTGATCCCGAAACCCAAAAAGTTGCAGAAAGCTAGAAAAGTTGCTAACATAAAAATAGCTAACTGCAGGAGTTATCAAGGAGTTTTAACTTTAAGATGCGTCTTCTTTATTTGATTAATTGCACTGCTTATTTTATTATGGCCATCCTGTCCCTTCCTACGCTATTATCCGCTAAAAATTCAACAATGTAACATAACGAGGTGCATGGCCTATATCAGGAAAAGACGTTTTGAGGTTGGTGGATCATTAAATCACAAATTCATTCAATCTGGTACAGGCGTTCATGCGAAAGAGGAAAGAAACACACCACACAATTGCGCAGAATTGGCACAACCACCAACTACAAAGGGCTTCTGGTGGCAAACATATACTACTATAAATATATATATATATATATAAGTGCAGCTCCAAATTTTAAACTCGCAGTTCTGTTTTATTTGAGCACAGTCTGATTGTGATCGGCCGCACAGAGAGACCAAGCACACGTCGCAAATCATAGCGAATAAAGATGACGAGGAAGCCGAGGCTCAACAATTGCAACAAGCGGGATCTTTCTTGGTGTTGAAAGCCCGAAGATTTCATCCATGTCCAACTCCTCAGGCTTCATATCATTTGGCAACTTCCATTTGTATCCATGTAAAAGGTTGGCCAAATTGGATTGGATAACCTTAAGGCCTAAACTGTAACCCGGGCACATTCTTCTTCCAGAACCAAATGGCAACAGCTCGTAGTCGTGCCCTTTGACATCAATGTCCTTTCCAACGAATCTGTCGGGGTAAAATTCCTCGGGTTTCTCCCACAATGCAGGGTCCCTCCCAATCGTCCAGACATTAACGAGAACTCGAGTTCCCTTCTGGATATCGTACCCTGCAACTTTGCAATCTTCGCGAGCACACCTGGGCACCAGCATTGGTGCCACGGGGTGCATACGCATTGTTTCTTTAACAATAGCCTCTATGTAAGGAAGGTCTGGGATGTCCTTCTCCGTCACCCATCGGCTCTGACCAATAACCCGGTCGAGCTCCTCGGTTGCTTTTCCGAATAGTTCTGGCTTTTTCAGTAGCTCTGAGATGGCCCATTCTACTGTCACCGCTGAGCTCTCGGTTCCACCGGCAAGTAGGTCCTAGAGTTCATTAATTATAATGTGAAAGAGTCAGAAAGTTCTTAGCAGAAACTGCATAGCAATTGCACTGTATCTGTATGCATGCCAATTATATAGTGGCTGGCTTGTTGCCTTGTTGGGGCCACGTGCTTGTCAATGGAAAGTTGCCTCAAGAGCCACTACTATAAGTATAAAATTGGAGTTCACGTCATTCTACTCCAGCAACATTTGATTTGATGACTACATATTTGTTTACTGGAACTTTCTTTTTCTTTTTTTTAAAAGAAAATAAATAAAGCTAATATATACAGTGTAATGATTTGAGGTACGGAAAGTAGACACACAAAACGTAAAAATTGGCGATCCAAATTGGGAGTAAGATGTGGAATTGAGAGATACCTGAGTGAATGCCTTGACTCCGTGCCTCTCTAGCTTCACCTCCAGATTGGGATCGCTCGCCAGGTCCAGAAGGACGTCCACCATGTCCTGGCTTACGTAATTCTTTTCGTCTTTCCTCCTGGCGTTGTGCTCATCCAGGACATGCTCCAGAAACCTGTCGAATTTCTTGCTCAAGACTTTCATCCTCTTAATATACCCCTGCAAATCCAAGAAATCGAGCCAAGGTATCGAATCGCCGATGTTAAGGACACCGTTCAGCAAGAACAGCTCGTCCAGCATTTTCTTGAACTCGACAGGCGTGATAATTGAGTTCTCATCAGACTCGTCCAAGTATCTTTTTCCCAACACCATCCTGCTAATCACGTTCAAGCTCACTGTTGAGAGATAATCTTTCAACAAGACAGGCTTGCCCGATGATTTGAACAGCCCCTGCAGAAGTGAATTCATTTCTTCCACTCGAATGTATTCGTACGATTCCAGTCTTTTTGCGCTGAACAATTCCATGAGGCACATCTTACGCGCCTGGCGCCAGTATGGTCCGTAAGGGGACCAAGTGATGTCGGAGTAATTATAAGTGGTGTATTTTCCGGCTGCAGTTTTGGGCCTCCCCGCAAAAGTGACGTCCATGGTCTTGAGGATAACTTTGGCCATCTCCACGGAGGAGCCGACCACCACCGGGAAGGAGCCAAAACGGAGTTGCATTAGGGGACCATATGTTAGGGAGAGTTGATGGATGGAACGATGAGGGAGGGTGCCCATGAGGTTCAAGTTTCCAATGATAGGCCAGGGCTTTGGACCCGGTGGGAGGTTGAGTTTTTTCTGACGGAAACGCTTGGCAAGGAGGGCGATAACCACCGTTGCAAGCCAAGCCAGTGCATAGGGGGTCCAGGTGGTGGGGGTAGAAGAAGAACTCTCCATTTTGTGGCGGAGGTGGTGGTGGAAGATGGCAGGATATTAATGTATGTAGCACAAAGAAGGGTGGTTTGGAATGTGGAGCTATGGAAGGGGGACCGGTACTTATAATGAAGTTGTGGGACTGACTGATTAATGATGGAACTGGGAGAGTAATTACCGAACTCAATGTGGAAGTCATTTTGTTTAGTTTATTCGGGTGGTCTCTGAGTAATGGTCAATTCAAAGGAACTTGTCTTCAAGCTAATTTAAACAATTAGCATACTAAACTTTATTTTGTTTTTTTCCTCTCATTTTTTATTACACTTTGCTTTCTGTGTATGTTAGAGCATTTCCGGTGATCAGCTAGCTGCGTTCGAATTTTGTGCGGATTTTCAAGTCTTAAAAAAGAAAAATTCCAGTATGGTAGGATAATGGATTGGAGCTCACAAGTTCCATTTCAATCCACTTTAAGATAGTAAAAAATTAATTATGTTAACTTTTTTGTTTTTTTCATTATACTGAAGTCTATTTATCCTCTATTCCAACCCAATTACATCAACAAGTAACAAACTGATTTGGAATGTAACCTGCGAGGATCCATCCACCTGGGACAAGGAGATAGCTCTACTGCACAGCGTCGGTTCATGGAGGCAGCAGAGAAAGTGATTTGTCCTTTAAATGCTTGGAAATAATTCCAGCTTCCACTTGCTTCCACTTCATAAAGGCACATTATCAGCGGGCCAGTTCCAACCGTATACGTGCACTAATGTCCGGAGAATTGGTTGTTAAACTCCAAAGCTTGGGTCTTTGTGTCTACAGCTGCAATCCACTGGAGCTGCTTGAGTCAGAGCTCGACTTGGGCTCGGTGTTACGTTAATATATACGAATCGAACTTGATAAGTCATTTGTTAGGGTCGATTGCTCGATGAGTTGTTCGAAAAGTCATCGAAAAGTTCGAGTTGATATGAAATTACAAAAATACTTTTATATCAATTAAAATCGAACTGATTTCAAGCTCCTCGCGAGCCAGAGATCAAGCCAAGCTTTCAATCCAAAAACGAGTCAAGTTCAAACTTTTCCTTTTTTATGTCGAGTCGAGCTCGAGTTTCATTTTTTTTTACTCCACGAGCTCGAGCTCGAATTCGAACTTGCACGTTAACAGGTCCAACTCGACTCGATTTCACTCGTTTGCAACTCTATTTGTGTCTAATAATTCCAAAGTATCGGTGATGCAAATGCCTGGTTGTTTCTTAGTAGAACCCCACGCCAAATAAAGTAAACATGCACCGTCACAGTTCTCACAATTATACATTGCGAAAGTCGAAGAAGTTTCTGAGAATGGCTTCGTAAAAAAAGAATTTGAAAAATACTACTACTACTGTTCTTTTCGTTATTAAGTCTCCTAGGGCCAGCAAATTATGCCTCTAGCGCAATCCCTGCCTTGGTAATTTGTGGTCGAAGGCAACATAGGAAGACAATTAGCAAACATTTGATCGGTGTTCTTCATGTTTCGTCTTCATTTTAGTATTTAGTTTGGTTTTGATATGTGGACAGATATCTTCACAGACGGGTATTCTTAAATTGAACTAGTCTCATTTAAGGTTTATTTTGTGTCAAACAAATCTCTCTCACCATAATAATAGGTGGTTGAAACTTGAAAGTTGTTTTTAGAAAAATTTGCAATTGACAGTTGGTGAAGCTATGAGTATCTTAGGATAATTGCAAATTCAAGTTCATCAAAAATATCGAAAGGAAGTAGTTCGGATTACAAAACAGAAATCCTAGTAATTGTGAACTGCTATGTGAAAACGGACTGAAAGTTTTGAAGAATATCTGAGTAGCCGTTCTGGTCTGAAACTTTGACCAAATGTTTGTTGACAATAGACTCAACTTTTCCTTCCGTCCCGTCGACAAACTTTTCGGTGTTAGTACCTGGTTGTTGCCACCGGTTATTTGCCATTCCCCACCAATTATTCTACAGTCAGAAATGTGAATGCCGAAAAAAAAAGAAGAGGGGTAACGGTAGTTGACGGATACCAACATCACGAAAGCCAAATCGTGATATGAGTTGCAGCTTGACCTCATCAGATACATCCATATAAAATGGTCAAAGTTATTACTTTCTATATATTACAATGACACGCTACATGATAAACATCCAAGAAAAGATGGTATCGATACCCCATCTTGGGATTAACACAATCTTTTCTTCTTTCCTTGGGTTAATGACTTGGGATTTTATTTAAGCAAAAATAGCTTGTGGGATACGTGTTAGTAATAGAATATATATATATATATATATACACACACATATATGTCTTGCAGATGTGCATGTCAATTGGGTCTCAATAGAAAACTTTACCACCACTAGGCACTAGTA